CTCTTGTGCACCCTCATTCTGACAAAGTCTGCACTTAAACTTTATTTCCAGATGTGAATCCTTAATAGAAAAGAGGAAGCAGAACCATGCCACAGGGCTGGAAGCTGTGCAGTGGGTTGGGCTGAAACTACTGCTTCTGGCACCTGTTTCCAAGTACTTTGCCTTTTTCTTTATTTCTGTATAACAAATTGCCCTCACTCCTTGTTCCTTCTCCACAACCTTTGCTCAACAAGTACTGAATTATTAGTTATCCTGATGTCTCCTTAAACAACTGAGTGTTGCATCCTTATTTGGTTGAATACTAATACTAAAAGATTATTCTATTATAATAAAAATACTCAGTAATATTTATTGAACACTTGGTACATGGCACTGTACCAAGGCAGTCTCTTTTACTTGGTTTAATTTTCATGAACACCCTTGGAAGAGAATTCTTTTTGTTTTCCTTCTCCATTTGGAAACAGCAGTAAGCTGAGTTCAAAGAGGTTAAGTAACATGCTCACGGGCATTTGAGTAGTAAACACTAGGTTAAGAATTAAAGGCTGGGGATAAGGGAGTGGTGCAGTGGTGATATAACTGGACACATACGGGGAGGTCCTGGGTTTGCATCCCAGGAAGAACTGGGCAGTCTCACCTCCTTTTTCTTAATCTCTATTCCATTCATCCATGTACTATGCAAAGTTAGGAAAATTATTTCAATACAAGGTGATCATCAACTGTTTGCCTGCTTGTGTAAGTTTAGATAAGCAAATTTGCAATATAGTGGTTGATAGCATAAGTTTCAGCACAGGATTTCTTGGATTTTTCTTTCCTTTTTTTAATCTTTTTTAAAATTTCACTTCCTTCAGTTCCTAGCTGGGCTCCCTGGGCTAATTCCTTAACTTCTTTGACCTTCATTGTCCATCAAAATAGTGGAAGTCAGAAAATACCCACCTCATGGATCTTTGGAAAGGTTAAATAAAATAATCTACATGAAAGACATAGAACAGGGGGCATTTTAATATTCTAAGGAAAATTATTTCTGTTTTTTCTCTTGGGTGTGATGGTGGAGATTATTAATATTTTTGCCTTTAAGAGATGTAGTCACACCTCCATAGGATGGCGGATGAAATCTTGAAATAAGTTGAACAAATGTGAATACCATGCTTCCTGGAAAGATCAGGCTTATCAGGGATGAAGGTCCAGTGAGACAGTGGGCCAGGGAGTTTCCCACTGGACACTTGTAGTGTCTCAGTACTGATGCCTGTTAGGTTTGGAGAACAGGGTGACACCAGAATGGCTCTGGCCTTTTCAGTATCTACTGGCTAGATTGACCAACAACCCTGAGATGTGCAGTGGGAAACAGGAAATGAATGAGTATGACCAAAGCTTCCATTTATGGCAGAGTCAAATTCTGATGTTACCTGTTAATCATTATAATTATAGGGGAAAAAAAGGGCTACTTTGTGGTCTGGTGATTAAGAAAGTTGGATCCCACATGGCTAGCAGTGTGATTTGAATCTCAGCCCTGGGACCTTGAGAAACATGGCAGGCCCATGTGCATGCATGGCCAAATTTCCAACAGGATGAGAGATGAAGGAGAAGGGATTGTGGTGTGACCATGCCCCATTGGAGGGGTGCTCTAGTGAGCACACATGGTCTCTGGCAATTTTTAAAAAATTAGAATTGCAAAAGGAATAGCAAAGGTCATAAAATCAATAAAATAGTATAACCAAAGCAACTGATAGAGGAGGAAATAATACCATCTTAATATTTTCAAATGATAGCAAATATCTCTGCTACAGATAGAAACCAACAGTCATCTTAGAAACACTTGTTTTTATTAATCAGCTGATGATACCACAACAGATCAAAATTATTTGACAAAAGCCCCCAAACCATAGATCTTATTAATGATGACTTATAATGGAATTTATAACAAGTTTTAATATTTAATTTTCTATCCTTTCACAATATAATACACTGAATGAAAAAAGGCTGATACTTGATACACACACGGGAGTGTTCCTTTAATTATAGATCAGAGGACTACTTTACATGGCAGGCTGTCTAATAGCATTTTCTTTTTTTTTTTTTCTTTTTCCTTTTCAAGGTTTTTGCCATAGGATATGAGCATTTGCCAGGGAGAGACAGAGAGAGACAGTGAGAGGGAAAGTGTGAAATCACCGCCCCCCCATGGGGGATGGCCATGCTACAATCCAGTCTCCATTCTCCTCTCAGGACTTTGGGTACATATGCACATGCACCTGGCATGATTTTCAAACCACCAGCCCTGGGACTTGAACTGAGGCCAACCATGTGAGAGTCCAACACCTTAACCACCATGCCACCTTTTGGCCCCAGGGCTTTTTTCAATAGTTAAATGATGAATCCTGTTAGATACAGTTCATATTTAGTATGATTTATATACTTCTAAAGCCAGTAAAATAATAGTGAGGTATGTTTTGTATGCTTCTTGTAGTATTTGCCATTTTCCTTCTAATTTAGCATTTGGTTGCTTATTTCCTTAGATTCTTAGTTATTTTGTGAGTGTTTGTCTTACCCAACCCCAATTACATTTTAAGCAGTGGCAGTTATGTTGCATTTTTATCTCCACTATAATAGCACAGTGAAGTGTTATTTTTATATCAAGTACTCTGTAAATACATATTGAATAAATAAGTGTCTGCATCCATAGTGCATATATTTATACACAAACAAATACCCCTCAAGAGTACACATTGATTAATAAAATGGCAAATGGAATTTTTCAATGCCATTTCATGGCTTCCCATTTCATGAAAAGTTGTGTGAACACTCATTTACCTTTACTTATGTCTAAATGAAGCATTTCTATAAATTTGAAAAAAATAAACAAATATTTAGTACTTAAGAGAGGCACTGGGATAATGCTTCACTTTATTTAATTGTTTTTAAGAATAATTTATTTAATTTTATTTATTATTGTTTTTCGAATTTGCTATAGGGCACATGTGTTCAACAGAGAGAGAGAGAGTGAGAAAGCAAGCTGCCAGGTCCGAGACTCGAACTGTGACTGGCCATGTGGGAGTCCAGCACCTCAAACGTATGTTCCCTGCTGGCCCTAACTCTATTTAATCTTAAAACAACCCTATGGAGTAGATACTCTAACAATTTTCATTTTATAGAGGAGGAAACTGAGGTTTAGAAGGGCTGAGTAAACTTCCTAAATTACTTATCTAGTAAAATGGGAGAAAATGAGGCAAACCCAAACCACCTCTCCCCAACGGCTGTTTTGCTAATCACTTTATCAACTTGTCATTTTTGGAGATAATCTAAACAACTAATTTGCCTAATGAATAACTCCCAGAGAAGTGAGATTGGTGGCCCACCATCGCAGAGCAAACTTTCATCCTAGAATCAAGACAAGAATGTAGTCTCTTAATTTTCAGTCTAGTGCTTTTTTAACCAGCTCTTGAAAGTTGTATTTTCTTCTCCCTGAAATTCTCAAATATTTTCAAAGTGGCAAGGGCCTCAGATGTCATTTCCATTGTTCCCCTTACCCAGAAAATTAAAAGTGTATAATAGTCACAAGGGCACAGGGCAGGCTTCGGTGAACACCGTTTGATAAGGGCTGTGAGAGAAATCAGTGTCTCTGGGACCAGTTCAAAGCCACAGGAAATACCCAGAGGGCTGAAGCTGATGGTGTATCCATTGCTAGAACCATCCTAAAATTCCCCAAGATCCTCCAAGATGTCTCAGGGCACGTGTAAGAGCCCAGGCCTGTTCTTGCTTGTGCTGCTTCTCACACGTGCCAGACCAGATGCTGTTCATTTTGGAGTCGGCATCTGCTGCTGTCAGGGTATTTAACGGTTGCTGATCGGTAATGTGAACAGAATATACTGATTACTTTCCCCCCAAGCTTTTTAAAGGAGAAAGAAAAGAGAAAAGAGAAAATGTTTACTTGTGATAGTATTTACATTGGTCACTTGTTTTGTCTACTCCCCATTAAACTGTTCACGGTACAGCTTAGTAACTTGTGTAATTATTTTCTTGACTCCTGTCTCCATCTCCATGACATGAATTCCATGGCAGTAACTGGGTCTGTTTGTTCACTACTGGATCCCCAGTATGTGATTCTTAAACCAGTCAGAATAAACAGTTTTACTTAAAAAGGCAAGTCCTGGGGGCCAGCAGGTGGTATGAAGGTTAAGGTGGCTGGATCCCACATGGCCAACTGCATGGTTTGATTCCCAAATCCGGCAGATTGAAAATCACATTAGACATATGTGCGTACATACCTAAAATCCCTAAGGAGAATGAAGAAGAGATGGCAGCATGGCCATCTCTCCTGGGGAAAGTGATTTTTCACTTCCACTGTCTCTTTGGCAAGTACATGCACCCTATGACAAAAATCTAAAAAAAGAAAAAGGGGGGGGGAGCAGGGCCTGAGAATTATTAAGAGAACATTTGTGGGTGCATTTCCTGGAGCCACGAAATATAACACACTATAGGCTGCAGTTATTGCTGACTTTAGAGGTGCTGCTCAAATATTTGTATTGAAAGTGTGCTGTATGCACAGAAAGGTGGAAGCCACTCATGTGGAATTCGACTAAAAATGCTGTCCCGATTAGCGGAAAGGAGAGGATGGGCTAGATGAGTTATAGAGTAGCAGACTGGAAAAAGCTACTCGGAAATTCCTTTCTTCTACAGCAAATTAAGAACAACTGAGTATTTACGTATTTGCACTACCACAAAGCAGTGCCCTACAACTCTGCTGCCACTTTGGTTCTTCCACCAAAGCCTGGCTGGTTGTCATGTTGGAACAGACTTGTTTCTTGGGTGACCATGAAAACTGGCATCTACTGAGAAGTAGATCAGTATATACTTAATTCCACCTGCATGCAGAAACAGTGACTTTTCTACAGAGTTAGGACAAGACACTGAGAAAATTAGCCTTCTTTAAATTTTCACGTAAGCTCTGTTACTAACGTCAACTGAGTTTTCATCAATGCAAGAAATAAAGATTTGGAATTCGTGGGTAAGAGAGTCCCAGAAGCAGACACTGATGGTCCACGGTTGGCAGTCAGTTCTGTGCTGCTGGGAACGGAAGTAATGATCGGTGGCTTTCTTCCTTTCTTGGTGCCAGCTTTAAGTGCATGGCCTAGAGAAAAATGTCAGATCGCTTCTCTGAAAAACAATAGCAATAAAAAAAAAACATATATATTAAAGGAAGAGACAACATTGGCCTTTATTTCTGAAAGGTTTTATGAGTTTCCTTTCTCAGATGAAGCTGTGGGTTTTTATTCACATATGATAAAAGAGTGTTTGATGGTTTTTTGTGACCTTTTTATTCAGGACACTACTTTCAACTAGAAAACTGAGAAAGTGATATCTTAAAAGCTGGAGATTTTTTTTTTCCTCCAATTTGTTCTCATTTTGGTAGAAAATTTGAAGGAAAACTAAGAATTATGTATTTGACCTTTCATTTTTGGGTTAATAGGATCTTTTTTTTTTTTTATCCCAAATCATGTTGGCAAAAGAATTCTACACTTTGATTCTGTAGTGCATAGGCATTAGAGTATGACATAGATGTGACATTTAACGTTTCACGCCTTGCATATTAATGGGGGGGGGTGTTAGGAAGAGATGTCCTGAGGGTAAAGACAGACATATTTTTCTTCAAATGCTCATTGCTTTTCTGCTCACCTCTCAGAGGGGATCATAATGCCCAAGCAGCTGCAGGCATACATCTCTTGCAACTTAGCAGCAGCTCTGAGAAAGAGTTTAAATAATATCTTTCTATGGAATTCACATACTTACAGTTCATATTTTGGATCATTTCAAGGAAAATTTCATCATGAAATCTTCCCACTTTTTTTTCCTTATGTGTTACCGTAACAACTAGAGTCAGATTAGGTTCACAGGTAAGTCAGCAGAATAGCAAGAATTGCCCCATCACTGAGTAAATCACTTACAACCTCATCCTTCCAATGGAGGATATATTAGCATATTCCTATTCCATCCTTAGTTGGATGTGTTGTTCAAAGGTTTTGTCTTTTGGGGGGGGTGGAGAGGAGAGTGGTAATATTTGAGGCAATAACCAGTCTGATATCTAGTCACCTGTTGGAAAGCATTCGGGATGTAATCAGCAGAGAATTGATAGGAGAGAGAGTGGGCATGCATCTACTGGAAATGAATCTGTTAGTCATCAAATTTGCGACTCTGACCTTATTAGCAGGCTGCCCACATTAACAGAATTGACTACTCTTATCCGAGTATATAAATTTACCTTTGTTCAGATCGTCAACGTTTTAGTCTGTGTTGAAGTGTATTACACTTCTCAGAGAAAAGAGGTCAGCTGATTGAAAACAAAATCTCCCTCTGTTAGAACTCCTTTTTCCTCCTAAGTGAACTTCATTGTGTCCATCCAAAAGAAACTGGCATTCAGTATGCTTGTAATTAATAAAATGGCCATATCAATTTCTAGGGTTAATGTCTGAGATCCCTGTTGTATCTACTTAAAAAAATATTCGTGGACAGTGGAAAAGCCACCAAAATTACCTGGCCCGTTTTATTCCTCACCTAGTGTCACTGTATCAGTGGTTATTTCTCCTAAGACTATTATATAAAGAAAGAGACAACCTACTTGCAATCTAAATGCCTAAGGGAGTGCAACTTCTTGAAGATTTGAGCCCTTGTTATAAAAAAAAAAAAAAAAAAAAAAAAAAAAAAAAAAAAAAAAAAAAAAAAAAAAAAAAAAAAAAAAAAAAAAAAAAAAAAAAAAAGCATTTTAAAGGCTTCTGTTCTGTTCTAAGCAGAGATGATGCCTCTTTTCCTTTTTCTCTATTCCTGCCAGCTCCTAGGTACCTGAAGTTCCTCAAACTTTCACAAAGTAACAACATGAGTTATTTTAACAGCAATAACAGCCGCATATACCCCCTGGGTAGTTTCTTTACTTTGGGAGGACTTTAGATTATCACAAGGAAAAGACATTTCATTTCTCCTTTCCAAAACAGAGGCCATTGTTAGTATTTCTAGAGAATTAAACTATCTACTCTCTGTCTTGTCACTTTCAGTCTTTCCATCTTTCTGTCTGTCTGTCTGTCTGTCTCACACACACACACAAAACAGAAATCCACACCTTCAGACACGAAGGCATTCGTTTTTGTGTTCAGACCCTGTAGACAAGTAGGCTGGATTCCTTCAAGTCAGAGAAGATGGATACCAGCACAGGTAATGAAAGAGGGACAAGGTGGCATGTGCCTAACCAAAGCAGGGCCACCCACAGAAGAAATAAGCAATGGGTTCCTAGAGCACCCAGGAGGCAGTAAGGCCTGCAGAGACCTCACACCAAATTCCATGTATTTGTGAACAACTATGAAAATCTTCATGGCCCCTAATTAGAGGAAGTGGAGTCACTCACCCTTGAATCATTATAAGGGTCTAGACAGTGAGCACGTAGTTGACCACCAGGGTAGACTAAGGCCTGAAACCCTTCTCCAAGTTTCCTAGATTGCATTAATCACCTGAGATGATGGAAGAAACAGAGGCATCCATATCATGACTGTGGTTCAGAGCCAGATTTGATTCACTGAAAATATGTTTTGATTTGCATCCACATGTGGCATGGAAATGCATACTAATTACAATAATAACAGAATAATGTAGACATGCACTCACCTGTGTGTTAACGTATGTCTTGGGGGTCCTTCGAAGCAGATCCAGAGACAAGGATTCAAGTGCAGATGGATTATTAGAGAAGTAAATCCAGAAAACCTCAGTAGACAAATGAAGAGTGACCTAGGAAAAGGGAGGCAGACATTATTAGGTATATTACCAAACTAGTTATCCTTGTGCAAATGGAAACTTAATCCTACTTTGGAACTCTGAAGGTCTCCAGCCTCAGAATTATCCTGCCTGTAGAGAAGGGAGCTTGGGCATATATACCACCGTACAGCAATCACTGTTGATGGCTGCTTCCAAGAGGCATTAGTTTCTGGACTTCCAACCTGTCCAGGAGGGCATAAGAAACTCTGATCACCAGAGAAAGCTCTCAGGCAATTGCAAGTTGAGTGCATTATGCAGTAATCCCCAATAAGATCTCCAGTAAGGCAGGGGTGGGGCTGACCAGATCCGCTACAGATTAGGACATGATCTATGCTGGTTTTAGTGACAGTAAGCCAGGAACACTCCATTTATAATCATGCCAAAGGCCTGATATTTTTCAGCGTGGAATGTTTTCAAATGTGCTTGAGAAATACAATTCTTAAAGTCAGAGGGACCAAAAAATTATCTAGGCCTTTTCAACTCATTTTATCATAAGGTAATAGAAACTCAAAGAAAACAAATGATGTGTCCTCTGTTTTTTTTCTCGTAATTGCCACAGCCAGAATCTGCATCCTGAGGTTTTGGTTTCTAGTTCAGCATTATTTTGACCAAATGATATGGGCTTTTTACTGCTCTTTACCTGCAGTTTTTGGTCAAAAATAGGATTCAAGCAACATGTTATACAATATAGCATCTATGTTGGCATGCTGCTAAGTCTGATCTTGTCACTGTGTTATTAGAATGTGACCTCTTGGGGGGCCAGCTGGTGGCATGGTGGTTAAGGCACTGGACAGACACACATGGCCAACCATGGGTTGAGTCCCAGACCTGGTGGCTTGGTTTATCACTTTCCTTTGTTCTCTCTCTTTATCTCTCTCTCTCCATGTGTGTCTCTCTGGTCAAATTAAAATAAAATGAATGAACAAATAAAATTAAAAAAAAAAAGAATGTAACCTCTCCTCCATATGGCAATGGTGTATGTCAGCATTCTCACTTCATTGGTTGAAACAGTTCTTACCAAGTTCCAGAATATGTGTGAGCTGTTTGAATGACTACCTTTACATTCACTTTACCTTGCACACTAGTGCTTAATAAATGAATGATGAATGAATGTGTGAACAAATGAACCAGTAAGTAGTTAGACATTTCTTATATTTGCTTAGGACACATAAACTACTTTGAATAATGTAAGTGGGCATACACTGAGGCTTTTAATCTCTTTTCCTTCACATAGCAGGATCACCATCATCATCACAGTGGTCATCTTCTACTGAATACCATGTGCAATCTTCCAGCCAGGCCTTTAGAGATGCACTTAGTCATCTTAACAGGCTTGTAAGAGACATATGATCATCCCTATTTTCTTATTGAGGAAATTGAGGCACAGAAGTTATCATTTCCTCAAAGTCACATAGTGTAAAGGCGGTGAGATGACGTATAACTCTAGCTGTGTCTGGTTTCAAAACCCATGTTTTTAAACCATTTTTGTTATACTGTCCTCTCAGAACTTCCCTTCCTGGTCTTTTAATTGCCTAGAAAAGGATAGTTCAAAAAAATGCCCAGAGAGGTCATTTATTGCTGTCAGTACATAGATGAATACAAAATCAACTGATGTCAGTACAAGGGCTAGGAAAGACTGTTTCGAGCTGGCATTGTCCAGAAAGTCTTCTAATAGTTTGGCATTTTGCTCTTTTTCTAGCTCTTGACACAGTAGTCACCAAGTGAAAAACCAGAGGTGTCCATGGTATGCTTATCAGATCCTTGAAGAGGTTCAAAGTTCTTAACTGGGGCAAATAGAGACTCTTGGCCCTCCTGGTAGCTTGTGCCCAAAATCCTGAGAGGAGAATGGAGAAGGGATTGTGGCATGGCCATCTGCCCTGAGGGGAGATTTCTCACTTTCTGTCTCTCTGGCATGTCCACTTGCCTTAGAGCAAAAATCTCTCTCTCTCTCAAAATACAAACAGACAAACAAACAAACAAACAAAAACACCACCAACGACAAACACAGAAAAAAGAAAAAAAAAATTAGCTGTTTTTCACCTGCTGGAGAATCAGCTTGACTTGCAAACAATCACAATGTAATTCCCACCCTGCCCCCTAGTGGAAGGGATTTGTGTCGCTGTCCTTGGTGCTGAACAGCAGGTACTAGTTCACAGCTGTTTCTTGTTACCCTGGGACTAGAGACGGGAGCCTGGTCCTGACCTATGCCTGTGCCCAGAGTTGCTCATCATTTTTTTTGTTTTTGTTTTCCCTCTATTGTGATAAACAGTGGAGCTGATTTCATGAAAATGTTATGGTTCTGTCTCTTCTTACACTTTATTTTTGTCTAGGAAGTTGAAAGTACATAAGCTTTTTCCCCCTATGTACATTTTGATCCTAATGTTTATTATCCCCTCAGGTTTTGTGGTCGTAGCTTATTGCAACTGTCCTAGTAAAAATTTGGAATAAATATACTGTAAGCAATAGACTAATCACCAAGTAGTAGATAAAAACTTTGGAACTGAACTGATCGTGTTTAAATCTGAGCTCTTCCTTTATAAGCTGGTCTACTTTGAGAAATTTATCTAATTTCTTTATAGCCAAACTCAGGGTCTGGTAGTCAGAATGAGTTCATTACAAATGACTGGTATTACTTGTATTCTCTGCCCCTTCTCATTCTTTAAAGGGAAATAAGATAGTGCCTAATTCAGGATTTTATTTTTTTAAGAGAGATTTTTTTTCTATAGGGCACGTGTGTTTGCTCAAGAGACAGAAGTGAGAAATCATCCCCTGGGGTGGTAGTCCCACTGCAGTACTTTCTCCTCCATTCTTCCCTTAAAATCTTAGGGCATGTACACACACCTGCCCAGGGTGAGTTTTTAAGCCACTGGGTCTGGGACTCAAACCGTGGTCAACTACATGGAAGTTCAGTGACATAACTATTGCGCCATCTACTGGTCCCAACAGTGCCTAATTCAGAGAATCATGGAAAACCTTAAATGAAACCATGATGGTAAAATGCTCAGCGAAAGACCTTGGATCCTGATAAGGGTATAATAGTTATTAGCTGCTACTATCATTTTGTAGCAGCTATTATTATTTTCATTAGTCTTATAATTTTTAGCAGTCATGAGACTAATTTTGATGTAGGAGAATGTCTTCAAAATGCTCATGGAAAATGCTTATTATGAAAAACTATGTATGGGTTTCAAAATTTCTTTGTATCAAAATAAACTTGGACTTAATTCCAATTTTTTCCACAGTCTTTTGAAGGCCCCTCTTAGCACCTGCTTATTGTAATTAATACTTTGAAGAAGAGTCCATGCAAATTGTTAATCATTACCCCTTTTTTACCCCATTATTAAATAAAGTATTCAGAACACAGACTACCTGAGTCATATCATCTCAGCTATCCCCCTCCCCAAAATAACAGCTTCGTTTATGCTCTCATTTATTATAGAAAGTTGATAAAAATGATTTTTTGCAGAAATCTGTGCTTCCTGCAAAGTTGAAGATATTCTTCACTGTTAGCCTGTCAACCTTTTAAAAGAAATCAGTCATAAGAAAGTTTCTCTGAAGGAAATTTCTCAAACTTCTTTTGTAAAAAAAAATAAATAAATAAAAAAATTAAAAAAGTGACCATTATGTAACTGACAGTGGTTTTTCTCTTAGTATTAGCTGCTAGAAAATGTATAGTTGGACTGGCAGATGGAGTAGTAGTTAAGTCACTGGACTCCCACATGGCTGACCACGGTTCAAATCATGGAACTTGCAGCTTGCTTTCTCACTCTTTCTCTCTCTTTGGTGAGCACATGTGCCCTATAGAAAATGTTGGGTTTTTTTTTTTTTGAGAGATTTTTGCTATAGGGCGCGTGCGCTCGCCAGACAGACAGAGAGAGACATAGAGACAGAAAGCGAGAAATCACCCCCCAGGGGGGATGGTCACGCCGCAATCCCTTCTCCTCCATTCTCCTCTCGGGATCTTGGGCACGCACGCACACGCGCCCGGCATGAGTTTTAAGCCACCGGGTCCAGGACGCGAACCACGATCGACTACGTGGGAGTCCAGTGACATAGCCATTATGCTAACTGCTGGTTCCCTAGAAAATGTTTTAAAAATAGGGACACCAGCAGTTGGCATAATGGCTATGTCGCTAGACTCCCATGTAGTCTACCATAGTTTGAGTCCTGGACCTGGTGTCTTAAACTCATGCCAGGTGCATGTGTGTGCGTGCTCAAGATCCTGAGAGGACAATGGAAGAGAAGGGATTGTGGTGTGGCCAGCCCCCCTGAGGGGTGATTTCTTGCTTTCTGTTTCTCTCTTTCTCTCTCTGTCTTTCTGGTGAGTGCACGTACCCTATAGGAAAAACCTCTCCTAAATAAATAAATAAATAAATAAATAAATGAATGAATGAATGAATGAATGAATGAATGAATGAGATGAAAATGTATAGCCAAACTCAGTTTCTGGTAGTCATAATTAACTCATTGTAAATGACTGATATAACTTGCATTCTCTGCCCCTTATTAGCTTCATTCCATTTTTATCACTTATTGGTTTATTTTATGTGCCTTTCCATGTACAGCCTACCCAAAAATTATTTATGTATAATTTATAATTTGTACAGTTAATTGGTCTATTTTGTGCTAAATGTTGTCAGCTGCTATATTTTAATGAAGAAAGGATACATATTCTAGAAATACAAATGAACAATGCTTCTAACTTACTTAATCTATTCCATATAACAAATGTATTTGAGGAGTTATTATGGAAACTAAGCAGCTAATCTTTATATTGAATGAAATAAACCAGGACTAGAAAACTAGGTTACGATTGCTCACTCACTGTTGTCTTGCATGGACAGTTGCAATGTATACCAAGGATACCAATAGGAAAACATACCAGTAGGGTTGGGAACCTGGGCTCTGATTCAGAAAATTTACATCTTTTTTTTGTACAAGGTTTGTGGTTTTTATGTTTTCCCCCCTCTTAT